CTACAGTCCAAAGAATCAAATTACTTTTTCTAATCAATATCTCAATGCGCATACAAGAATGATAAAAATAATAATTCATATTTATATAGACTTGTGTTTACTTTTATTTAAAATGTACATTCATTGTAAGTTGATAGTGAATCATACCTTCAAGTGAATTGAGATCTGGTCTAGATCCAGCAACAGGTAGTTCTCCATCCACTGGGTCTTCAGCTCCTTTGATTCTATCAGGAAAACTCAAAATACTGGATGAGAACTGTAGCTCCACTTCATACTCCTTCTGACCAGCTAAATATCTAAAAAAAAACACATAAAAAACATAAAAACAGTTTCAGCATATATTCTAGTCATAGAAACAAGATGTTAGAAGCCAACGTTTGAATGTAAGTTATTCCTGTTTGCTATAACTTACAGGATGTGTTTATATTTATCATAGAAGGTAGTAGCGAAGGAAAGGACTTGTTTTATCCAGTTTTATTTCTTTAGTTTCTTAAGTTTCAGGCCTTATCGTCATTGTACGTATAGGCTAAGATTTAAAGCGAGAGGGTTGTGACCTGCGCATGTGTGGGAATTGAGTCCCAAACAACGATAACAACACACGCTAAGAATGCAAGGGCTCATGGGAAGACGCTTATTTGTAAACAATGACACGCTATGGCCACCTGACGCATGCGTAGTGAAGACTCCCTCGCTTTAAGCTAATCACATATGTCTGCATATCGGCTACACCCAATTGCGCAAGGGAGTAAACAGCAGTTAGCACATCCTAATAAACACCCAAATTTACATATATACAAATCCCCAGTTCATTTAAAAAATGATTTCTCAGTACAGTGCCCAGGAAGGTATACATGTTAGTTCTATGGTTATAAAACAATACCAAAACAAATTCAGAAAGTGCAGATTGAAGAATAACAGGAACGTTTATGACTTCTTAGCCTGTGCTAAGGAGCTGTGCGCGAAGACAACTAATTAGAAAATCAAGATAGGAATTTGAATAATCCAGTGTGACAGCGGAGTTGACCTTTAGTGGAAGTATTATTATTTAGTGCTACAACAGATTCTGTCAGTTTTCTTCTCATAGAACACACAACAAAACAATTTAAACATAATTATGAAACAATGAGATGCGAAATAGTTTGAGTTAAGGGCAACATAGAATTTTGTTTTGTTTAACGTTGTATATTTCCTGCAATTTAAAGTTACTAATTTTGAACGTTCAACAAAAACAAAATTATAGGTTGCCAGTTAGTTGAAGTTCTGTTAACTGTGAATTGATCATTGAGTTACAATTTGGGCATGGTTTTGCAAAAATGGGCTAGGTTCGGAAATATGGGTGTGGTCATTTTTGTAACTCGATGTTCGTAACTCAAGGTCCGTAACTCACACAATTCAGCATCTCTGAAACAATTTAAACGTAGTTACATTGCCCAAATATTCATAAACACAACTACCGGTATGTATAGTTCACCTTGCGTTAGCACCCGGAAGCAATGAGAATTGTGGAAATCAAAAAAGAAACTACAAGATCTTTCCTAGAATCTAATATACAAATATTTAAGCAACTGATAGGATTACCTAAAATGCTCATTATATAGGGCAGTTGTGTGTTTAAGGTGAACTATATGAAACCCACCTTTGTAGTTTAACAACTTCAATATATAAATTACACAACCAATGGTCAATGTCAGATGCTATTAATTTCTCTATCGTCTCGTGTTTCTCAATACGTGGATCCATCTCACCTCGTAAAAACGGTACTTTGTACCTAAAAATTAAAGAAATACGATAATTAATGCCGCATCAACAATACATATAGAAATGAGACACAAGGTGTTATGTCAACTATTAATTGGATTAAATGTACGAGAGTTAAATGTGGTTAAACTAATTATCAAACAGACTATTAAGAAAAGTTTGCTTACAAAAAAAAAAGGTGTTGATTTAAATATTTTAAGTTTACACTGTGTACAATCTGGATTGTTGTTGCTGTGTTTTAATATAAATAGAATTGGGCTTTGTTATTAAGCCATTATAAAGAAGTACTATCAGATTGCCTTGATAGATACAGGAAACAGGCAATCCTGGTTTTATGATGTGGGATTTCAAATGAAAATTCCAAAAATGACTGAAAATACCTGCCTAGCATTAATTTCTGTGAACTGTTTAATTTTCACCATTGGAAATTTTTGAATTTGTTTTCATGGCATTCATGAAGACAACATTTTGTTAAAGTTGCTGACACTCCATGTCGTGGGAGACTAGAGAAATTTCACTACAAGGAAATTTTTGTGATTTCCATTGACTTGCAAAATTTGCTAAAATTTGTTGTTTATAGTACCGGTATGTTCTTTGCTTGTATAACTATAGTAATGTGGTTAAAAGTTATTTTTGGAAAGACTGAACTCACTTTCCATCAATGATGTTGAACTGGGCATCACATATAGGAAACACACCCCATCCAACCACCTTGTCAACCGGTAATAGCGAACCGCGTAATAAAAATAACTCAAACATCAAAATCATGCCAGGACGCACATCAGGTTTGGATGGACACACGGTGAACACGCTCTGATCAAGCTGTAAGAAATACACAAGACGTGTATATACATAAATATTAACAATTATCGAAAAAAGAAAAATGCATTGAAAATAATTTCAAGATTACAGCAGAATTAGTATAATGGAAAAAAACTGAAAAGACAATTTTTTCTTTAATAGTGATTATCTGTGCTGCTCCATATTTGGGAGGGAGAGAGGGGGAATCTGTGAGTTGTTCATGATACAACAGGATGACAAGTAAAGTTAATATGTATTTGTGAGGTGGTTGTTAAATCTCCTGGACACAGAGTTTTCCCTTGATATTCCTATAGTTGTCTTATATATTCCTACACAGTGTATTACATTATTATACATCTGACACCAAAAAAAATAGAATTTTCCCGTCTACAGGTGTTTTAGAGAAAATATCAAATAATGTAGGGTGGCTCAGAAAAGGCTAATTATTGACTGGAATTCCCAAAATGATCCATATTTAACCATTTTAGGGCTAAACTCTGTTTTTTAGCATGTTTTTCCTATACTGTAAAATACTTTATTTTAGTTGGAATTAATTTTCGCTGAAAAGACTTTGAATGTAAAACATAGGAAAAAAGTTTTTTTTCACTGGATTTTATTTTCACTGAATCATTCCTTCAGCGAATTAATTCCAAGCGAAAATAATGTATTTTACAGTATTATAATTAAATGTAATACACATAATAGTGTCAAAATAAGGCTCAGGTCTCTGCTCACTCATCTACACCTAGTATGATATGTGTGTAGATAGTGTCCTTTATTCTCTAAATATTAATTTACCTTCATTTCAATATTATAAAATTTCCCATCATGAGTCAGTGGTAGCGTAGCTCCACCCCACTGTTGACCTTTCAACCTTGACCATCTTAAGATATGACCACCAAGACGATCGTATAACGACACCATTAGGACGTATCGACCACCTGAAAAGAAGACAAACAAATATAAAATCACAAAACAAAAGTAAATTTTTAGTATAATCTTTTCACCACTAGTTCCCTCTTTTCATCACAAATTCATCAAATAGTCCCGTTTATAGTCTGTACTTTCCTTCATCAGATTAGGAGTAAAAATGGACAATTGACTCAAATTTTGTCTGTTGGCTCCAAAATTAGGGTTCATTTGCAGAAATATTGAAGAAAATTTGGGCAATAAAGTCTGGCGGTGAAAAGGTTAAGTTTCAGACATTTTTTCTAGTGTCCTTGCATATTCATAGAGTATGTAGTAGATGTTTTCATTTTCTTGGATAGGACAATAAACTTCCAATATTTCCCAGCATTCATTGTATTCTGTGATGTAATGGGTAATAATAAATTCTCACTGATGCTTGCATGGGACTCACATCAGTGGATATATCACCAAACATGACGTGAGTTGCATACCCTTATTTTATGAGTTCCTGATATTTTAAATAGATTTTTGTTACATTAATTACTCTGGTTAGTATTGTATTGATCATTTTTAACAGCAAAGGATTGTTACTGTAAAACACTTTATTTTAGCTGGAATTAATTTTCGCTGAAAAGACTTTTTGGGTGTTTTGTATGGTATTTATTTTCACTGATTTTTGGTGAGTTGAATGTAAAATATAGGGAAAAAGGTATATTCGCTGGATTTTATTTTCACTGAATCACTCCTTCAGCGAAAATATCGAAAATTAATTCCAAGCGAAAATAAAGTATTTTACAGTAATTTGGCTATCACCTCTCCACTAAACCTTGCTAAGATCTTTGTCAGAGGGTGTTTTAAAGAGCGCCTTCTATACCAAGGTTCAATACCTGACATTTCAGTAGAATCATGGGAAGGGGGGGGGGTGTCGTTAATTGCTTAATTTTCGTGATTTGGTGATTTTATGGATTCATAAATACAAAATTTTGTGAAATTCATTGACACATGTCATTGAACCTCAGTGCTAACAAATGTCTTTCACTGACTCGCAAACCTGAGCGGTTTTGAATATTGCATAATAACATACCTGGTAACTTATCACGGACTCCTCGCAGGCATTTCAATTTAATCTGGATCGGTTGTGGTGTTCTAGTCCAATCAACTTTCCATCGTCTTCCCTTTGAACCGCCATACTGACCATCAGCCAAAGTCAAATCACCGTACATGGTCTGAAGAATAGTAACAATATGTAACGGTTTTGTAATTTTGAATATATCATATTCTATATACCGTAGTTGTGATTATGGAAAACCACAGATCACCAGCAAATAACACCGAATAAACAGCATGGTAAATACTAAGTCAAATCAAAGTAAACACGTACTGCATGCGTGACTCGAACCGGCGCTTACGTACAACATATAATCTCCTAGCTTCACGTCACTACACATCTTCCCCTCGTTTTCTTGAGATGAAACACTACTCTTTGCTTCATGTCCATCGTTCTAAGTGTGTTCCTTAGTTTCAAAAGTGGACAGTTTTCTATATATTGAGCAGTAACTATCTATGTTTACAAGTAATGTGACAGTTTTCTGTTCTTCCATAATCAAAGTGGAGAGTATAGATTTCTTCCTTAAAGAACATCCTGGATTCAAACGCTGGGTCTTCAGATACATTAAGCCATGTTACTGGTCACTCAAAGTGTTATTGATGAAGGAACACAACACATGTGAGGCATGCATAAATCAAGAGCATTTTATTTCTGCTCTGATTATTGTCACATTCTTTAACTACACTAAGAAGATACAAACTATCTTTCTTGCTCAAATCAAGCCTTGATGTTACAGACCACAGACTTTTAAAAGGAAAGTTGCATTCACACTTTGCAAATCTGCAATTGGTCATTATATATCCCCTTTCCAATATATATGCCAAGAAATGGTGAGATTGTGGGTTGGTAATGAGAAAGTAACTGCAGAATATGAATGTATATAGGCCATCTTACCAAATTAAGTTACAGATTACACTTAGACAATCACACTAAGTTAGGGGGGCTTTGTTTGTCCTTGAAGATCAGTTACATTGTAGGTATGTATGTCCTTGGGATAAGAACCTCCAGTACTCTCAAAATGAAATATGTAGAAAGATCAGAAAATCTACTTTTAATATTTCTTACTTTTCTGGCAAAAAACATTACACATTTTAGGTTTTATGCTTGTTTGGGGAACGCTGTCTCACAAATTTGTAAAATGTCAATGCAAGATTAATTCCAGTTAACATACTTTAATAAAAAGTAACTATCAGTAAAACAAGCCGGTAGGCTGGTTGGCGATCTGCTCCGCTCAAAAACAAGCAACATGTTTTTTGGCTGTTTCCATGGTGACATAAACGTCGGTTTATAACTAATACGAAGTTCGCAAACACCATTCAGTCTTTAGAAGTCACTTAGTTTAGTACTAGGACCACAGT